GTGTGTGGAGAGAGAGAGAGAGAGAGAGAGAGAGAGAGAGAGAGAGGGAGAGAGAGATTGCAACTCGAAACTCACGGTAAAGAGAAAGAAGAAGAAGAGAGGAAAACGCAAGATGAGAGAGAGAGAGAGAGAGAGAGAGAGAGCGAGCTAGCTCACCTTGGCGTCCATGGTATGCGCCCATTGGCGTCTTTCGCAAAGGCGTAGCACCTGAACCGCGATAGGCGATGGTGTGTTTCGATAAGAAATCTCCAGGCTCTTAACCGAGAGGAAGAAAGACAGAGGGAAAATAGTCGCTGCGACAGCGCCTTTATGGCCATTTGTATCCTTCGACCGTGTCGTATCACCGCGGGCGCGTTTTATGCACGCTGCAAAACAATGCGGCGCGTAACCCCGTTAGAGCTGTTGATTTTGTATTGCCGCACGTCTTGTTTTCGTTGAAACGTTCGATTTTACGCAGGAGACGTCAGCTGAAAGCCGGCGAATCGCGAAGGATCATATCAGGTATATGAGATACAAATAGAGATAAAAACAATCTTTATTTCATTTATCAGCTACGATGTATCTTCTTTATATATTTTCAATAGATAAATCACAAAACCCCCCCTAAGATTAAGAATTGCGGAATTTTTTTCGAAACGTTTTACAATTCGATTTTCATATACAAAAGAAAGATGTATATATTAACGGTATTATTTCAATTGAAAATAATTTTGTTAATTCACACGCAATAATAACGAAATAAATTTGTCATGTTCTTATTTTAAAAATTTTACTGGTTTCATTAATACCGTTATTAAATTAAACAAAACCACTTTTCAATTTAATGCTGTTGATCCCAGCAAACACAAAGTTACTTGTAATTTTCCACTCAACAATATAACTGTAATATACACGTGTATTATATTACAGTTACATTGTTGAGTGGAAAATTACAACAGTTACATGTAATATTGTTTGCTGAGATATAACACGATTTTTTTCAGTGTAATTTCGTAAAAAAATTGATTAAAATACCATTTATCCTGATTTGTTTCCGTTTTTCTCAGTTCTTTTCTAACTTAATTTGCTCAACTTTATGGAAAATATGCCATGTATTTGTTACGCGTTATTATTAGCGGAGTTCTGTCATTCGAGGCATGAATATGGAAAACAGAATGCTTATTTGGTATGCTGACACATTGCTGAATCGCGTATATTGGCGATTCAATGGACTACGTAACATGCCGAACATTATGTATTCGAGGCTACTGCATTTAGTTGTCAGTAATAAGAAAAATTATACAATAGTATCTTATATATTTGTGTTAGAAACGATTATTTACTCAAGTTTTTATTAAAATTCGGCGTTCAATTTTTGACATATTCGAATGTATTATTATAATTTAACGTAAAGTCATTATATTATTTAAATATTTTGTGTTAAATCGAAATTCAATATTTCTTCGTTTCAAAATGACACTATTTATAAATAAGTGAATAAATAACGTAAAAATAATGTGTTTTAAAATCTAAATTCTAAGATAAATGAATAAAAAATACATGTTAATAATTTAATACATCGTAAATATTAATTTCACTAAAAACATATGCTCTTCCAGTTTGCATACAAATTACTCATGTCGGTATTACCTGTTTCGTGCCAATTGTTTTACATAATGTTCGTGTTATTTTTCAGCATATTCATCTTATGTTAAATTAATACAAAAAATTGAGTGGACCATTTGAACGATTAAATTTAACACGTTGAAATTTAACACAAAATTTCCAATTGTGTAATAAAATAGGAAAAAAATATATTATCCATAATACAAGACGCTAACGTTTAATTTCGTTTTATCTCATTATGCTGAATTATGCTTTCCTATTATTGATTTTCCCAAAACGGAGAATTTTCGAAGTGGAAAGATCGTCAACCGATATAGTATTGAAAAAAAAAAAAAAAAAAAAAAATACTTTTGCTAGAGAAATTTTATCAAAATATTTCGCTTATTTTACTACTGTTGCGTGCACAATCACACGTGTGCCTCTCTCGTTTTCTCTCTCTAAAAAATTCTACCTAGCAAGCCGAGCCGTTTCGTACCGAGCGGCATCCGTGACGCGAAAGTATGCGCGTCGTTTTACGATAGGTACATCGGTGCCTCTCCCCCTCCCACCCCCTCAAGCACATCCACATCGAGAAAATGCGGCCCGGCGACGCGCGCGTGACCTTAAATATTTCATTTACTCGGCAGGATTTACTCGGCGAGGAATATATGATGCATTGGTGGCACGCGCCCGTTAAATTCTTGCCGGCTTCTCTTCAACGAGCGCCTTTCTTCCCCTTCCCTTTTTTTTTTTTTTTTACTGTCCCCTTTTGACCGAGCCTCCGCACAGCCTTCCAAACCGAGGCGGCGTCGCCTCGATTGTGCATACCGAGCACGATTACTCGCCTCATTGTGTATTACGTAATACGGAGGAAACGAGATGGGGGGAAGGAGGGAAAGGGAGAGGAGCTGTTACGCATACACGGGTACGCGATTCGTGCGTGCGTGTATGCGCGACACACGCGACGCTGATAAATAAACAAATGCGTGGGTGCGCTGCGAATGCGCGGCGAAAGCGCGACTCGAGGAATGCCGCGCCCGTCGCGGCGTCGCGTCGGCGTCCTGCCGTTGGGAAAAATCCGGGACATCCTTGCGCAATGTCGCGCGTACGCGTGATTGAGTAAAACGAGAGAGAGAGAGAGAGAGAGAGAGAGAGAGAGAGAGAGAGAGAGAGAGAGAATTTTACTTACTCGTAAATTTACGCTTAGGATATATATCGCTTGTTGATAAAAATGTCCACATTTACGTCTCGAATGATCCCGAGGGTTTCAGCTGAGAGTCACGTGACGCGGATATGGTACCCGCACCGTTTGCGACTGTAGAGTAGTCTTTAAGAAAAGGAAAAAAATGACGGAGATTTTTCTAGAAATTAAATTAATTACGAATTATTACACGCGTATAACTGTATAAACGGACAAACAGAAAAACGATAAACAGAAAGATAGGTAGATAGATATCGGTATTTATTGCTTTAGGATAAAGATCCTTTCAAGCGCAAGGACATAATTCGTACAAATTTACAGCGTAGTTATCACATACGGAAGCGATCGAATGAAATAAGTAACGAAATATATACAAATGATAATAAAAAGAGGAAATACAGAAAAATCAGTAAGATATAAAAGAGATTAATGCACAGCTGTGAGGCGCTAAGAAAAATAAAAGCTACATGCACAAAAGAAAGAGAGAGAGAGAGAGAGAGAACGCGAGAAAGATTATATTTAGCAGAAAAAGCAGTTTTACAATTATTGCAAGATTCTTTCATATGATTTAGTTCATATATTATATTTAGATTTGAAGTGAAAAACTACAGACAAGAACTAATCATATATATTAAAAAATCTTACACTGTAGCAAAGTTGTTTTTCATGAACGCATTGTCGCGTGCGCAGCCAGCCGACACTAATGTATCATACAACATAGGTATACCTGGATACAGTCAGGTCAGGTGGATAAATATCGGATACGTAGCGGGACATGGGCGGTTTCAAAGAATGCGCTTCCTTCCTGTTAATATACCTAATATACCAGCTATACCGTATTTGGATACGCGCGTGATCGCCTATACGTTTTATAAGTAACGTACCACGGTAATGAGTCATGTCGTGATTACGATTCCATTTGCGTACCGCGACGAATCCGCGAAGAATAATACCGCACGAAGCTGCAATGAGCGGATACTTTTGCGATATGACTGCGGCTGTAACGATAAATACTTACGATGACTTTGGAAATTTGAATTGTATCTTTATTATTGAAATACTCCTTGAAAAGCTCCCACCAATATAGATTAACTTTAAGATTTAACTTGCTGTTTATCTCTTTCTAATTCTCAGAATTATAACAAAATTATCGATAAATGCGCGTGTCCCGTTTTAAAATTCTATAATATACATTGTAATATAAACTGTATAAAATATAAATTGGCTCATTGTGGTCATATAAAGAAAACTGTAATTTTTCCAATAATTGCTAAATAGACCTTTTTTTGTAGTCATTCTGAAATCTGAGTTCACCCAATCTGTTAAATTTATCGATAAAAATGAGACCATTAATGTGGACTAAAGTCTTTTTCGGAGGAAAGATAAAAATATCTTATTCTGGATATATACAGGGTATTAGTTAAGTATGTTACCATAGTCACCAGAGCGATTCTTTGGTTTATTTCAAGTAAAAAAGTCCATACAAACATGTGTTCTAAACGGCATAGTTTCCGAAATAAAAAAATTTTAACGTGTAGTAATAATCTATTTATTTGAAAGAAATACAGCTTTAACTAATCAAAAATTAGTCAAAAACAGAAAAACAATAACAGGCTTCTTCTGATGAAATAAAACAATTAGATGAACTGTTGAAAATATCCACCTTGCCATGATACATCCATCGAGCCTTCTTCTCAAAGATTGACGTACACGCTCAAAGATACCAGGTGTGTTACGTATTGCCTCGCATGAAACAACTACTCGATTCCTCAAATTATTCTCATTCTCAATTGGAATGGTATAAACCAATAATTTCAGATGCCCCCCCCCCCAAAGGAAATAATCCAAAGGCTTTAAGTCTGGTGGATCTAGGAGGCTTTGACTTTGACTTTGTCACTTTGTTTACGGTTGTGAGAATGGTATAACTCACTGAAGCAAGGCATATTTATGTAGGAAGATATCTTCAACGCAATTTACCGTTTCGTCAAAGATTTGCGAACGTTCGCCTGTATTTCGGAAACTAAGCCGTTTAGGATACATATTTATATGAACGTTTTTACTTGAAATAAACCAAAGAATCGCTCTGTTGAGTATGGCAACATACTTAACTAACACCCTGTATATATGTTATCACAAAGAAGAATATTCTTCCAATCACCAATTTCTGTTCTAAGTCGACTGATTGAATTACAAAATGTTATGTTTATTTCCGCAGGTAAACACTTGGTGCTAGTGACAGATCCCGAGATCGCCGAGGATGCGTACGCCTTCGACAATCCCTGCTTCAAGGATGCCACGCCTGCGGCGGTCGGTCGCGTCACAGAGAAACCGTCATCAGCTGTATCCGGGGACACGCCCGCGAAGGATTCCACGCGATGGTCCACACCTTGGACGTCCCTGGGCCTCGGCTCGGCAATCCGCAGCGATAAACGCCGAACCCTCGACGACTCCTACGTCGGAGTAAGTGCTTCCTGACTTGTTCTCTTTTGTTTTTTTTGTTTTTTTCAAATACAGGAATGTTATTGTTTTATTTATCATTTCCAATACAAGCGGTATAATCGATCTTGATTTTATTTAATAGCAGTCTGTTGTTTTTTTTTTTTTTCTATTAAAGTCATTAAAATGTTAACGAGAAAAATTATTCGCGGTACAGAAGGATTTGAAGTAACGAAGCTACTGAGTAAGTTAGCAAATCATCGAACTTGGATTTAGTCTCATAGTCAATTACAATTCGATTATTGCGTGATGAAAGTGTCGATAATTCTATATCCTTTAAGTCTACGATGATTAATCCTTCCTGTATTAAGAATTTCCCTCTGTGCAAATATATACGACGGAATGACATCTCGATGAGCAGTTATAATAATTGAAGATTATCTGAACGATTGAATTATCACGCCAGGTAGGCAATAAATTCTATGATTGAACTTTGAAGTGTCACGATAATAATCCTTATTTAGTCACGCGATAATAGTGACATGATAATCGCAGGATGAGGCGGGTATGCAACATTTATAATTCTCCATCATGATCTAATCCGACTTTGAAACATCCTTCTGCAGAGGAAATGATGGATTGAGAAGGAATGTATTTTAATTTTGTCATAAAAGTATAACATATTGAATCTGATTCATCAAGGATTTATTAAGAACCATTGTTTATGAAAATAAATATGAAAGTAAACGTGACAAAATGTAGATAGACGTACGCGTTGTTAATAAAGATGAATGATCTTGGAGAGATGTCCGGCAAACTCTTTATTTTTTTATTAAGACAGAATTGAAAATTCGTGTTTACAAACTGTAATTTATATCTTAGCTGAAAATAATTTTCAGGATTTTGACAAAGCCTGGATAGATAACTAAAATAATGTCTTTTGAGTATATTTAAATTTTATCATCGAAATATCGTACATCATATTTCTTAAAATATTTATGAAGATATCCATTCCGAACGGTCTTATGTCACGTTTTTATTAAGATCCGAAAATTCGGATATCAGCTGCAATTTATATCCCAGCTGGATATTGTATATTACATTTAATACATACGTGACGCCGGACGTAATAACAACGTCAATAGACTTCTCTTTCATAAGAATATGACATATCTCTTCTTCATCCACTTGTCCCTGCGTTATTAACTTGTCATCGGCAAGGTTTCCGTTCATTGATCGTCTCTCGTCGAATTGCACTCGGGAATAGCGCACTCAACGAATCCATCATATCTCACACACGCACATACACACATACACGTATACGGTAACCGGCGTACGACCCACACGCAATAATGCGACTCCTGTGGTGAGAGTAGTGGAGTTTTCATCACCCATGTAACAATCGACCCGTTTGTTTTCTTGCTCCAGCCCAAGGCCACCAGGGTTAGCGTGGTCAGTCTGCGTAGCCATGACTTTACCGGCCTGGGTTTTAACATATGCGGCAACATGAGAGAGGGCATCTTCGTCAAGGACCTGTTGCACCGCGGACCCGCATCCGAATCTGGGCGAATACATCCTGGTTAGTATATACTTTGCGCGAGACATTATCATATCGCTTGATCAATCAAGCTGTTTTGTATCTCTTGCGATAACTTCGTGAACATCTGATTTCAATATTTGTCGGAGATTAATTCGCAAAAGATTATAATTTACTGTTGATTTCAAAAAAGCATATGTATAGTTCTAAATGTAATTTAAAAATAAATGGATATGTATAATTAAATACAAAGGAATCTAAAGAAAAATTCTAAACATTATGTAATATAAAATCATAAATGTATACACA